AGAGCTTAGAGCTTCTGCTCCTCCTCATTAAAGGTGTTGTTCAAGCATCTGGCTGGGATGCCACCTGGTTAACTTCCTCTGGAGGTTTTCTGGACAAGCCCCAATGAAAGAAGACCCCATAGGGCAGACTTGGAATGAACTTATGGGATTAAATATGTGGTCCTTCCTGGGAATACTTTGGGATCAGTTGGCTTTGCCATCTAGAACTTGCATTTCTGCCTTGTGCTTTTAAGGCTCCTTAATGTTTCACATCACCATGATGCTGATTATTCAATGATCGTCAAAGCAGTCATGTTGTCTGTTCAACCAGCGGTGCCTGTTTTTGCTCAAGAGCTAAAGTCACTCTGCATTCTTTCCTCATGCCCTGATTCTTGGAGCTCTTTGCCAGCCTGGACGTTTCAGAGAAGTCAGATCTTCTCGCTTGAACTGTTTTGACTTTCTTGTTTGGTGACGCCCGGCTTGTCTCTGTAACCCCAGCTGACAACTCGTTTGGCATTCCAACAGAGCTCCGTAATGATGATCCTGCATTGTCTCTTTCTTCCCTCGTCTCGTGGTGCCTTTCAATTTCCCAACTTTTCTCCCTTCTTTCTTATGTTTATGTTTATTCATTTAGCAGACGCTTTTATCCAAAGCGACTCACAATTTATAACCTATAGGGCATGTTGTGATCTGTGGGGGAAACCGGAGAACCCGGAGGAAACCCACGCATGCATGGGGAGAACATGCAACTCCACGCAGAAAGGCCGCAGCCGAGTTTCGAACCTGCAACCTTCGTGCTGCGAGGCAACAGTGCTAACCACTGCGCCACCATGCAGCTCACCTTCCTCTTCCTCAGTGTGTGTTCAGAAATGTAGCCATGTCACGGTGGTGTTCATCATTCCTTTCCCTGACCTGGATGTCATCCTTCCATCATGCCGTGTGGAAACGTGGAATCACATTTTTCTCATCTTGCTCTTGCAGAGTTAAGCAATTAGACACATTAGCTTAGTGAAAAACACCAAGTGTGACTTCTTCACCTGCGTTGTTTACGATGCCCTCTCTATATACCGTAAATCCTCTAATATTAGCCTGTATTTAATTAACTGCCGGGTATCATATTTTGGCCGGTGTCGGAGTCGGCGGAGGTGAATAATGGCCAGTTTTTTATTGTGGCCGAGTGGAATGTGGCAACAAGCAAGTACGGGGGGCGGTTGTGTCATCGTCTCACTTTTGATTTGCCAGTGATAGACCGTGAGGGTAACTTTAACCGTGCGGAGACGAAGAGGAGGCGAAAATTTGATATCAAGTTCAAAGAGAACGTGCTGATTATGCTGCAGAACACTGGGGAGCAATAGCAGGGGTTGGATTAACTAGTCGACTTCACTATAGTGACTTTTTATGCCTGTCATCGACTAGTCGCTGTCACATGATAATGACCGGCAAGATGCAGTCCTCGGAAAAGACAGCAGCCTGCTGTCAGCAGGTGACAAGCTCCTGCGCTGGGGGTGTGTGGGAGGGGGGGGGGGGGGGGGGGGGGGCGCGCTGTGCCAGAGCGTCGGTACTGACACCCGCCGTAAAACAGACATTTAACCAAATTGTGACGTTTACCCTCTTGCAATTTAACCTTCCCCTCACCCCCATCCTAATCTTAACCAGCTTGCACATGCAAAGCTCTGATTGTTGACATCTGCGTCCTGAGCACGGCCACAGTAACATTATCAAATAAGGTGTCGCCACCTCAAAAACCAATTTAACATGCAATCGTTCATGTCGGCTCATATCCTTTTATGTTTCTGTCTGTTATTTGGGCCTGATGCGTTTTGCTGCTGTGGAGCGGAGCACATCACCTGTTTTGTCCTCTGGTGACCATCTCACCAGTGCGGCCGGCGCGCAGCGCGCACTCCGCTGTTTTTGCGGATTGGTAGATCTTTTAGAACTGCAGTTCAAAGGTAACTCATAAGGTGAATATATATGAACCCAGGTAGCAGTTTCTCTTTAGGATTGAGAGGAGATGCAGGAAGATAATAAACAGGCAGGACAGAAAAATAGTCAAATAAAAACAAGTTAGTTTTTGTACCTGCTGGTTGCAACAAACAGACACCACTGAAGGTAATCAGAAGTGAGGAACAGAAAATGAAATAATTATTTTAATGTTTAGAGCTGCAGGAACTCCGAGAGGCTGCAGGCGCATCAGTGAGTTTGCGGCCGCTGCGCAGGGGGAGGGGGGAGTTGGCTGAAGCAGAAACTACCGTTGTTAAAAGAAATGTGTTTAACTTTGAAAATGTGGGCGCAATTTTAATTGTCAAAAACTCCAGTGAACCATTGGTTCATTTTGCTCAAATAGAAATTGAGGCCTGCCTCTAATTCTGGTCCTCCTTCCAATAAAGGCCTGGAGCTTGATGAGCTTGAGTCAAATACAGGCCCGGGCCTGTATTAGAGGATTTACGGTAGTCCAAAATGTGAATTGAACAACGCATCAAGGCAGTGTGGCATGTACTTTTGTTGTGTTAGACTTTGCTGAGCATCAGTATATGTGAGAACTGTATAATTATTAACTGCAAACTGGATCATAGTCACCTCTTCCTGATGAAATATATTTCCTAAATCATGCTAGAATACCTAAAAGAACCAATTTATTGTTTTTCATTTAAATCTAAATTAGCAGCCACAAACACTGGTTTCTATTTTTTGTGTTTAAATGAGAAAAAAGTCGGTTTTATTTATATTTTATTTACTGCAACAATCTCTGTTCTTGTTTCGTTGATAGGAACATTACTAAAGACATTGGGCTGAATGTATTTATTGATGTTTTGTTGTACAATCTAAACGATAATACTGGTGTTTGTGAAATCTGATGATGTGGTTTTTGAAGGAGGGACATGCATATAATAAAAAACATGTATTGTATGACCAAAAACATGCAGCAGGATAGCATTCAAGTTTAATCTAAATATTATATATTGTGGATTATCTAATTTTGAGTAAACCCTGAATTTTGAGAAACAGGGCAAACAAATTTCATTTGTCTTTGGTCACCTGACTCAGAGCTCTTCCAACCAAGCTGTCTGTCATTCACAATCAACCCCAAAGATGGCGGCCTGCATGCTCTGGTGTGCTGTCCCTAATCCAGCTCTGCTCCTTCTTTATGTTTAACAACATTTTTTTTAAATGTGGCCATTTGAGACTTAACTTCTTCTCAAACTAAATCATCAGCACTTTGGAAGCTGTCCCTGAACAGGTGAGTCTGTATTTGGGTCATTCATCTTGATACCAGCAGGATAATTCTGACATATCTTGAAACTGACATGAGATTTATTTCGGTGCTCACTACCCAAATCCAGCATATTTCTCAAATACAGCCCTGCTTCTTCGCGTTCAGCTGAATAGCAGAAGGGTGCAAATATCCATGTACTTCCAGATTGTTCATGTTAGTGCAAAAATATTTAAATGGGGAACTTGCAAAAAGAAGAAAAACTTTGTATTCTGTAAAAATGTTTCAGGGCAAAATAATTTTCTAATCCTGCTTCAAATTTCACAAACTATTAGTCAACTTAACTTTTCTAGTAATTTATGTTTAGAATAAAAAATTACTTAAAATGTTACTGACAATGATGAGAGGATTTAGTGGACCTTCAAACTTTATGAATGAAACTTTACTAAAACGTATTTTCAGATCCTTTTTTCAGATCCTTTCATCTGCTCTAAATAGTAAAACAGATATGAAATGAAAACAAAAAAGCATTGACATCTTTAACAAGTTCAAATGAATACAATAATCGCACGAGACGGTACTATCTTGGGTAGGTTTTTTTGTCTGCGTGAGAAACTGTTTATTTTGGAGGCATGAATTAGCTTCTACCTTTTTAATGATTTCATCTAAACCATGAAAACATGAAAAGCTAAACTGATATGCAAGTTAACTACAGCAAAGCATGAGTGTTGCACAAATGGGACTTGCTGTTCATCGGGATTATTTAAAAAGGAAGCTAAACTCGTATTATTAGACTTGCATTAGAACCACATTCTGTATAGTATTTAATTTTGTTTGAGCTTTTTAAAGGTGGCTGACTGGACATGAAAATAGTCTCCTACACCGATCTCCTGCATTAGTTTCTCATAGAAAATAGATGGTGAAACTCTAGGATTTCAAAAGCCTGACAGATCTACGTCATGCCGTCATTTCTTCACAAGAAATAAATGCACTGGAGGCGAATGGAGAGCCATCCAAGATGGCGGAAGGCCACTACGGCTGCTCAAATAGGCAGTGCCAGTCCATGGGGCATCTACATATGCTTGTTGCTGCCACTTGTGGCAGCTGACTTTTTCATGCAGATCCAAGCATGTCTGGGCTTTTTATTTATTTTTTTTGCCCTGAGTACGGCTTGCAAGGCGTTCATTTGAAGCGCCTCATGATTTTTATCTCGAGAGGTGCTATATAAAATATCGTTTCATTTTCAATTCTACCAGAGACAACTGCAAATGTATTGATTAAACAAGCTTCACACACTTAAAACATGATGAGTTAAACTTTTTTTTTTATCTTTGTGTTCTCTGTTGCTATTTTGATGTTAGTGTCATGGTTATTTTTATCTTGTGAAATACTATAAATAAACTTACTGGACAAGTAAGTAAACACAAGCTACATCAAATCAGTCTGTATTGTCAACAATCTTTCCAAAACAGGTTAAAATCAGACAGGAATAAAGAACGATCATCCTTCCACATATGTTTTTATTTCACTTGAAAAAAATGCCCTTTTCAAACTATTACACTATGAGTAAACAAAGATTACTCATTTGAGGTCAGATGTTCAGTTTGGATTCCAAATGTGTTACTTGCACCGTCAGTTCTTGGACTGGCGCTGCTGATCAGGCTGAGCATGAATTGCGGGGGTGTAAGACCTTGGCTTTCTGCTCCAGCAGTGGAGATATCCATCCAGACAAACGGTGTGATGGGACATGCTCCTGAGGGGCGCACATCGTCTACCGAGAAGTGAAGCAGACGAACGTTCACACAGCAGAGAAGAGGGGGAGGGAGCGGGGAGGCTGATCCTAGAGTGTGTGTGAATGTGTGTGAGAGTGAGAGAGAGACGAACGGAGACCTGCTCACAGGACGCGCGCGCGCACACACACAAGCTCCCCCGCAGGCGCGCGCGCGCACACACACATCCGCTCTCTTTTCCTCTTGCACGGAGCGAGTACAGAACCGGGAAGGGAAGAATGAGGAAGAGGTCCACTGTGCTGCGCGCCTCGTCTCAGCGAATGCGGGTCTGCTGATGAAGCACCGCTTCGGTCACCCGATCATACAGGTCACTCAGGTCGCGCTGCATGGAAACGAGGAGTAGGCAGGAGCGAAAGATAACGGCAATACATAAAACAGTGAGTGCATGGGAATCCGGACTGTTCTACCCTCCCTTTGTGCGTCTCGCTCGTTGGATACGCGATCTTGGCTGGCGTATAAGAGCTCCCTGCGTCTCCATTTCCATTCCCTACTCCAGGCTTACCTCTACGACCACTCCTCCTCCTCCTGTCTCCTTCTGCTCGGTGCAGAAAGAGTCCTTCTGATTTTTACTATCATCTATTCCGGACAGAGGATCCTCGCAGTGTTATAAAAAGGTAAGGAAATCTTTATTTCTAATGGTGACCAATGCGGGGGTCCGGGTGTGTTTCATTGTCCGGCGCGTGCAAGTTTGTGAAAGGGGACGTGAGGTGGATGGGATGCAAAGGGGCAGGATATCTTGGAGACCGGATTTGGAAGCACCGTGCGCCGGATGGATGGACGTTTCCTCTCCCCATCAGCATCATCCATGCTGCGCTTTTCAGCTTTATTGTGCGCTGGAGACGCACAGAGACCACTAAGCTCAGACTGGAAGGAGAGGTGTTGGAGACCCTAGAAGCGTCCTTCATTCCCACCCCTCTTCCCACACTCCTTTTCTCTCATGTTCAAGTCCCTGCCCCCTGCTTCACCTATTTACAGGGATATTCAGGGATTCAGAGCACGTTCGGATCAACGCGCTTTCACCTTTTTATAGGCGTTCAGAGCGAAAGTTGGCTGACAAACGTGTGCAGTGCCTGATAAATCACTGAGTGTTGGCTTGAGGAGGCATGCATTTCCGCAATTCTGCAGGCCTCTCATCCTTTGCGCCAACAGGGCAATTGGATTGATGGAGTGCCTGCGTGCGCATTGGTGAAGGTGGAAATTCTTGACCCTGTCTTGGAGTTTGAATGGGATTAGGATTCAGTCAGCTTCTGGCTTCAATTTGAAGTCGATGGAGAACTTATTTGAGAAATAAAAAAAGAAAATGAATCTGAAAGAGCTGCCGCATCAGTTCATGGTGCTAAACCCAGCACGCACGATATTAAAGGCAAACAGCTTTTCATTTTCCTGATATGACACTACAAACGGCTTGTCTCAGGTACTATTGAATATTTTCTTCTCTAGTTGTCTTCATTTGAGATTTTATATGTACGATGCTGAGGATTTGTAGCACATCAAGTATGAAACATTTATTCATGCAGGAGGGGGTGGGGGGCGGGGTGGGGGTGGGGGGGTCAGGGGTCCTTTGCTCTCCATCAGTGATACTGTAGGTAGCAGATGCATTACAGGGTCTGCAGCAGTGAAGCTTTATTTCATCCAATAAAAGCAGACAGGGTCAGATAATTGATTTCTTCTCCCACAAACATAAAAAATGCAGTTATTCGGTTTATTTGAGGTCACTATGCATAGTGATTCTGCATCTAGCAGTGCTCGGTTCTTCACCTGTTTAAGAAAGAATCTTGCACACACCCACACACTGATGTACACAACTTTTTTCCAGGCGTGTAGCCACTGCAGTGCAACAGCCCTTAGGCTGCTCTGAAATGGTGGTGAATGGCTGAAAGTAGGCAGGGCTTGGTCCCTATGTGGAAGTTAAACAGTTCATATGTAAACAATATTAAATTCCACTTAACATCACCGTCCTACTTCACTGTCAAGTCCGTATATTAGGTCTATGTTCTGACTGTTTCACCAGGATGACATTAAGGTGGAAAATTCTAAAATGTTCCCAATCTTGTGAAACTGAAATCTGCTTTCTCCCACAAAAAGGAACCTTGTTCTAAGAAGATAAACCTTTATGTGGGCAAACTGCAATTCATAGTGAATGAATGAGTTGTCACTGAACAAAATTAGATACCATCCCTATAAAGAGAAACAAAATAAAGGATTTAAATATGAGGATGTGCAGAGTTAATTTGCTAATTCAAGTAAATACGGGCTGAAATCATATTGCACGAAAACAGAGCAGTCACTAAAAAGGAGACGAAAGGTAAAAACTGAAATCATGCAGTCATTAGAAGGTAAACGTGTAGATATCCAGGCTGAAATCTTAAGCACAAATCGTTTCAGCCTGGTCGGCTCCGTATTTACCTCATTTTAACTGCTGCAAACATTAAAAATCTTACAGATAACACAAATAAAGGCTTTCCAACCATGACTGACTGGACTTACCACTTTAATGGTAAACCAGACATAGAATTTGGCAAATAAAACACATTTATTGCACATTGGGAGATTTACTGCACTTTAAATAATACTAAAGGAGAATTAAACATGTATCTTAATAAGTAACAAATCTGAAAAGTCAGCAGCCTTTGCGTCATGGTCTTCCAAACTACCTTACAGCAGCAGAACAAAGCACCTTGTGCCACCAGGGTAAACCAAGCAATGCTTAAATCTGTAGGTGTAATGTGTTTTTTATCTCTGACAGCCAGAGTCAGTGGAAATGTTACCCTCATGAAAAGAGAACCATGTTTACAGGAAATATGGGCTAATTCTGCCCATTGGCAGCTTTTCTGATGATAAGAGCGTCTGTGAAAGAACTCATTGAGTTGTTCTGATTTTAGTTATGTTAAGGGGAAACAGGCTCAAGTTGATGTCATGGTAAAAGTTTTTTCATCAATGTGCGACACAAAAAAATGTTGCAGGGTTTTAATTCAAGAATGTTGAAATCAGTCGGAGTGTTGCATGTTGAAGCCCCGCTCAGTCCGTCGCATTCTTTGCATCCTTGGGCAAAAATTTAACCCTCCTTCCCTGGTGGTGGTGGGCGGAGGGACCGGTGGCGCCTGTGCTCAGCAGCATTGCTTCCGTCAGTGTGCTCCAGGGCAGCTGTAGCCACATTGAAGCTCATCAACACCTGTGTGTGTGATCTGTGTGTGAGAATGACTGAGTTAATTAGCGCCTTGGGGGGTTCTAGAACCCTAGAAGGTGCTGTATGAATACAGGGCATTTAAAAAAATTTTACATTTTTGGTGCAGTCTTTGTTACAACAGCCAATGTATGACAACTTCTCTTCTACATCAAAGGGAAGCTCACTTGTTCTGTGTCGATTTAGCGTCCAGGACAGAGCAGAGCACGTCTCTGCTACTAGAAGCTAACCTCTAGCATTAGCAGCTCCACAACCCGGAAGACCTCCTTCAGGCTTGTGTTAGTAATGGAGGAAACACATTTGTTTTGTTTGTTTCCCAACCCTGGTCCTTAAGGACCACTGCCCTGCTTGTTTTCCATGTCTCTGCTTCTGCACACCTGATTTACAATGCCTCCTCAGGAGGACATCAAGTGCTGCAGATGCCTGTTAATCACTCATTCATTTAAGTCAGGTGTTTGGCAGCAGAGACACACTGGTGTTTGAGAGGGCAACATGGAAAGCATGCAGGACAGTGGTCCCTGAGAACCAGGGTGCATCTTGATTGAATCTGACGTTCCATTGGGTTTTCCAGCCTCTGATCGTGTTTTGTGTATTTAGTTTGGTAATTATGAGCTCTAGCGGTTGCAGTTGTAGAATGTAGATTAACCGAAAAATTTGACTACAGAAAGTGTCTGAATTATTAGTAGAAAATGGAGAAATCAAACATGCTTCTGCTTGAAGGATTAGAAAACAGTCAATAGAAAAGGATTTAACGTTTCTGCTCGTATGAACATTTTCTCTGTTTTTAATCATCTCATCATGCACCAGATAAAATTCCTGAGACCGTTACCGTTGGACATGAGAATAAATGTATTTGAGTGACAGTGTGGTATTTTTTCTGAAAGTTATGAGATAAAATCTTGGCTTTAGGAATGTCTGCAGTGCAGACCTTGAATAAAACAGCTCCACGTCAGTCTAATGATTGCCATTGTGGACCATTAATCTTCAGATGTCTAGATTAGTGTTTCTGTGTGGTTTTGCTCCTATTCCACACCAGAGAACTGAAGTATGAGCTCATTAGGTTATTGTTGTCATCTTTTCCACTTTTTGTACATTCCTCCATTTTCCCCATATTATATAAAATGTTCTTTGTATCCTTTTCACTTTCAGTTTTAAATATTTTAGAAACATGCCACATCTCAAGTGGAAAATGCATTTCAGGCAGGCTGCCCCAGAGAACTCGCATTTCTTAGTATATTGAAACACATTGTTAATTTTCACAGAAGAGGGCTATTTACGGTCGGCATCTTGTTTTTTCGTGGATTATTTTTCCACCACGTCATTTATATTGATGGAAGCTTTCATGCATGACATGAAGAATCTGGTGATTTATGTGAAAATGCTGCTGTCTTAATCGGATGTCTGTCTGTGCTGCTTTCACAAGCCTCTGACAGTATTGGGAGAGAAAAAAAAAAACACTTGTCTCTGTGAAGTACATGGATTTAGTTTCCTTTTACTTCATCTTTTGTGATTTTAGATTTTAGCCTCTGGGGATGAATCATTGACCATGTGACGGGGAGTGCATTTTTCCTAAGAAAATTCTGGATTGACTTGCCTTTTCTTGTCTCTTGCAAGTGTTGCAGGTGTTTGAAATCCAATATTTCAATTACACAATTGAAAGTAGCTGCCACTGACCAAGGACAACACTTCTCGTGTTGTGTAAAAACACACCCTAGAGTTTGGCGTGGATTTTGGTCATCTTTGTTCCAGCGGGACACATTTCGTAGTTGGGTCTGATCATGGATCACCTAAAGTGATATTTAGATTAGGCTCCAGTAGGATTCTCATGTTGACTGTTTGTACTATTGTGTACAATTCAACTTTGTCTATTTAACACCAATAAGAATGACCAGAAACTTATGATTTAGATAGAAATGCAATACATTACAGCACTTTAAAGGTGTGGTTGACTGAAAAACCTTTTTTTTTTGGTTTGTTTTTCCCCTGATTATAATATAATGGGTCACATCGTCATCGTTGTCTTCCTCCGCTTATCCGGGTCCGGGTCGCGGGGGCAGCATTCCAACTAGCGAGCTCCAGACCGTCCTCTCCCCGGCCTTCTCCACCAGCTCCTCCGGCAGGACCCCAAGGCGTTCCCGGGCCAGATTGGAGATGTAACTTCTCCAACGTGTCCTGGGTCGACCCGGGGGCCTCCTGCCGGCAGGACATGCCCGAAACATCTCCCCAGGGAGGCGTCCAGGAGGCATCCTGACCAGATGCCCAAACCACCTCAACTGACTCCTTTCGATTAGGAGGAGCAGTGGTTCTACTCCTAGTCCCTCCCGAATATCCAAGCTCCTCACCCTATCTCTAAGGCTGAGCCCGGCCACCCTACGGAGGAAACTCATTTCGGCCACTTGTATCCACGATCTCGTTCTTTCGGTCATTACC